GAGCCCGAATGGAGAACAGGAGGAAACTAAGAGGATAGGATACTAAAGGGTAAGCAAGGTAAAGGTAACAGTAGGAAGCACAATGAAATAGACTTGTAATATCATGAGGTGTCCTTGACTGTCGATTAGGAATCTTGCGGGAACCTTGTGGGAAACTTGCGCCAACCTTGTGGGAACCTCGGGGCCACGTTGTGGGAACCTCGTGGGAACCTTGGAGCAAAGCTGTGGGAACCTTGGAAGAACCTTGTGGGGCAAAGTTGTGAGCAAAGTTGTGGGAACCTTGGGCGCTTTGTTGGAAACGTGTGAAGCAACATTGCGGGAATCTTGGGGGAACCTTGTGGGGGAACCTTAGGGGGCGCCTTGCAACAAAGTTGTGGGAACCTTGGAGCAATCTTGTGGGAACCTTGGGGAACTTGTGGGGCAAAGTTGTGGAAACCTTGTGGGAACCTTGGAGCAAAGCTGCGGGAACCTTGGGGCAACCTTGGAGCAAAGCTGTGGGAACCTTTGGTCCCTTGTGGGAACCTTGAAGCAAAGTGGGCAAAGTTGTGGGAAGCTTCTGGGAACCTTGCAGCAAAGTTGTGGGAAGCTTGTGGGAACATTGGAGCAAAGCTGTGGGAACCTTGGGGCAACCTTGGAGCAAAGCTGCGGGAACCTTGGAGCAAACTTGTGGGAACCTTGGGAACCTTGGGGGAACCTTGTGGGAACCTTGTGGGGCAAAGTTGCGGGAACGTTGTGGAACAAAGTTGTGGGAACCTTGTGGGAACCTTGGAGCAAAGCTGTGGGAACCTTGCGAACCTTGGGGGAACCTTGTGGGGCAAAGTCGTGGGAACCTTGTGGAACAAAGTTGTGGGAACCTTGTGGAACAAAATTGTGGGAACCTCGTGGGAACGTTGGAGCAAAGCTGTGGGAACCTTGTGCAACCTGGGGGAATGTCTTTGGGAGCTGCTCCGGCTTGCTCCGAAACCTGTACTATGGCTGAAGACCCCAAAGCACGCTGCTGTTGGGGAAAAAATGGATATGTTTTTGGAGCAAGCGTTGGCGACGCCGGTCATGCCGGCCAGGGGAAAACGCATCATCAATACTGCATTATTGAGATCGTGGGTGTGTTCGTCTGTGTGTCCTGCCCGAGCGAGACACCGAGATGGGCAGACCGAGACAGACGGACCGAGACAGACCGACCGAGACAGACTGACCGAAACAAACTGACCGAAACAGACAGACCGAGACAGACAGGCCGAGACTGAGACAGACCGAGACCGAGACAGACAGACGAGTCAGACATACCGGGACAGACAGACCGAGACAGAACCCTCGGTGAAAAGGCTGGCGATTAGATAGGGCCATAGAGAAGCGCTTCTTCACGCCTGAGCCCGTTAACATTTCCTCCCGGCTCCAAGAGCACAAGTTGCTAGTTCCTGGCTTCGCAAGCGCAGGTTGCTGCCGAGCCGGTAGGGCGCTAATGGCTCACTTTCCCCAAGTATGTCTGGATGTATGTATGCATGTATGCATGCGCGTAGGTATGTATGTATGTATGTATGGATGGATGCGTGCGTGCGTGCGTGCGTGCGTGCGTGCGTGCGTGCATGCAAGCAAGCAAGCAAGCAAGCAAGCAAGCAAGCAAGCAAGCAAGCAAGCA